CGGGTGCGACAGACACTGCGTTGCCGAATTCCGCTTGCTAAAATGAAACAGACGACGTGATAGATTGAGCCAATCGCACGTCCTAACGGGACATGTGCTCCGATCACTACTAGCAGGAACCAACCTTGGATTCTTGTGAAGGAGTTTCCGGATAAAGTCCTTCGCATCTGCCGAAATGTCCTTGAACTCGGGGTAGTCGAAGGTGTAGTTGCAGCGGACAATGTTGCTCAGCGTCTCGCTCTCGTTATCCCCCATGAACGGCGACAGTCCGGAGAGGCTTCAAGGGACGTTCAAATTAATTAAATCAACACTTGCATAGAGAGGGGAATTCAAAGAATCGGTTGACAGAGCCTATCTGATGGTTGGATTATGTCGATAACTGAAATCGACATGGATCGAAATTCGACGTGCACGCGCACACCGATTTACTGCTGTTTTACACTAGCAATGTAGTTCACTGTGTTCCGCAAATAACAATGTGGCCGCAACTGTTTGCTGATCCACGGAAAATGTTTTACTGTTGCATGTTCGTAATTGTCAAAACTACGCGTACAGGCGAGACGTCACCTGCTTGTCAAATTCCTTCGCACTACGTTTAAAGCGAATTGGCATGTTCAGGGTTGTGTGTGGGCATATTGAGGAGGCGGGTTCTGACGAAAGGTGTCAGGGAGATTCTCAGGCCGTCACTTGAATGCTACGTTGGTTTTGATTAATTGCCTGATTGTGTTCGATACTGACCATCGCATTGCCTGCAACCTGATTTCGACAATGGACTTCACGTGACGCAATTTGTTGCATTTGGCTTTCTTTTTTACTGTCTTGTACTTGAATACAGCATCTTTTTTTCTACCGTGATTGTCATGGACACCGCCCACAAAACAACTTAGTCTCGATTCCTCACTAATTCCAACTAAACGGTGTTATCAGATTTGCTTCTCGACACGCCTGTCAAAAAACACCTCCATTTCATTTATCATCCATTCCAAACAAACACGAAACACGAAAGATTAAACTGTGCCATCGTGTTAAAATAGGTATTCTGATTAACCTGTAGCGTCACTGACGTAGAATGCACAATTTCTAGAATCAACCTCCTGGAGATTATTTTTTTGAAATTGTAATATGCGTATCTTTATTGAAAAACAATAGCCTCAGGGTTCGTGAGTAATTTATAGTCAATCTGGAACGCAATAAACGTCGGCTTCGCACGAAATCTACAGACCCTACTCTATATTTACAAAGCAGACGTCATTGAGAGAGCGTTTTGTCAGTAACCACCTTTGTAATGTAAAGATATGGTCTGTGTTCTGATGTAAAGCCCCGCAAACGAACTGTTCTTTACCAATATGGTGTTTATTTGCAAATTTAATCTCCGAACAAATAGTTGCTGCTACAGTCGAGAAAATTGACTCTGTTTATTTTGAGATTTTATTCATTGGTCACTCTAAGCAATCATTGTTAAGATCAGTGGCTTTTAAAGAATGATCAGCAGTTAAATATGCAAATTTGCCAGAAATTCTATGAACTATTTTTATGTTCTACTTGTCATTACTAGGCTATATGTCTTATCTAAAAAGTAAAATAATCAAATGACTGCTAATGGGTTTATTAAAGTTACTGCTACACCAAGAAACGTTAGCTCTTTTTGTCAATAAATCCGTAGAAGATGATGATACTTCGTCTGGTTCTTCATGACTACCCTGCTGATTATTCACCTATCTTTTTTAACGCTGTAAAGTGTAGCAGGCCTGCAGAGCTTTGTACGTAAAACTAATCATAACTTCTTCGTTTAACTTAGGAGAATGCTGTGGCGAAGAAAGCATGACGGAAATTGGTGGCAGAAAGGCAGAAGCCTGTAAATATGTGGCAGATTTAAATTAATTGAAGCTAATAACGTGAACTGCTTATGCTCTGAAGCCAAGATCTCATGGATTTCAGCCATGTTTAACTCGATTTAAGAAGCTGCTTTGTTAACTACCACCATATTTTGAAACTAGTTCCATGCAAAGATTAATTTATTGCTTGAAGGACAATCAGTTTCGTGAATTCAGGGAACTCGAAGCCCAGAAAAATGCTTGATTTTAAGCAAGACCTCATTAATAGCAAAAAAGCACACTACCTTGTCAACAAATTTTGCCTTTGATTCGTTTTTTGTATTTTTTAGGAGTGCAAAGGTAATTTTGACTTACAGAACATAGCAAATCACCCCCACTGACCACATGTCTGTGGCGTAGGTCACGGGGTCGTAGGAGATAATTTCCGGGGCAACGAACTCCGGCGTACCAAACATAACTCGCATTTCCCCCTCAGTTACCTCCCGCGCGAGGCCGAAATCGATGATTTTTATCTTGAAACCGGTGCGGGAGAGGCAGAGAATATTCTCGGGCTTTGAGAAAACGGCATTAAAACAATCACATCAACTACTGTCGGGCAAGGCAGGAAAACACATTTACATGTGGGTGGTTTCAGTGTGCCAGACGTAGCGGGCCTTGACGCATTTTGAAAAGGCGTTTGCGAGTAAATAGACATGACCTGCCAGAACATATGCTGGACCATCTCACTGATATTTTCTGCCAAAAAACTGCCGAAAACAAGCGCCGGGTCATGGAAAGTTGTCGTTTCAATCATGGTTAGAAGTTAAGCTCTGACGTTGGTCTACGATTCTAGAACTAACCTGTGAACCAGGTGTTTTAGTGTAAATGAAGAATTGTTAGTGCTATTACTACAGTTGTGCTTAGAAATGACAAAATTGTGTTCAGAAAAGCATATTATTTATGGAAGGAAAAAACCCCACCTAATGCCCCAACACCACGTGATGCTTCCTGTGAAGTTACCGTCAGGAGACCGCAGTGGCGGAATTGTCCTGGCATATTTCTACGTGGGATTTTTTGTGCCAAATATAATCCCGATTTGACAGTCCAAATAAATGGCCGCAAAAATTCACTGTTCTGATAAATTTGGGTATTCAATAATCCGGTATGGCGTATGATTTTCTAGTGAAACAATATGTATTGGCACAAAATCGATTATTCCAAATGTTATGCTGGCAATGACGTGGATTGTACGATACTTCCTGTACAACATATAATTAAACCAGAGCAAAAAAGAAGTGTTCATTGGACTTTTCGCAAGAAGACTGCAGTTGAGGATCAAGAGCCGCACCAAGTGGATTAGCGCATACCTTAAGGTCCAGATGTAGCACATGCTGTGAATGGATGTATTCGACTCCCTGTAGAATCTCACGCATAAACTTTTCACAAGTCGCCTCATCCAACTCAAAGCTCTCGTCAATCACCCTCTCGAAAAGCTCGCCACCTGTTATTCTAAAATAAGAAAAATGCGGGGCATTTTGTGCAAATCCAAGCTATTATCGGGACTAAAGTGGGAGTAAATTTACTTGTACCACATTTCACCACCTGACTAGTGTGTGTTCCGGTTAGAGGATTATGAATGCAAACGAGTGTTATTTTCCTCAAAGTTGGAGTAACTAACTCCGCGGGTTCGCCGTCAACACTAGTAAGGAATAAACTGTGAACAGAGTTTAGATGTGTGCAGCTATCATACTTTAGACGAGGTGGTAGTGAGGCCACCAAAATAATAAGGCCAATGAAAACGCACGGGTCACTGTACCACGGGAACAAAGTGAAACGCGTGACTCCAAAAAATTTCCAAGATGTGTTACATCATCAGAATTCTTGCGGAATTGGTGAATCGGAATGGTGTAATTGATTCCAGTAGCTGCAACCTAGACTAACCTAATGGTTTTGTTGTCAGCGGATTTTTATGGCATGTAAAATTTGCCATAAACACGGCTTTGCATGTAACCTATGAATGTGACTTAAGGCCTAACTTAATGACTTGCGTTTAGTTCCTAGCAAATCTATTCCTGTAGAGAAAACTGACTTTACCAGCCTTTCCAGGCATGATTTTCAAGTTCCTTTCCAAGGAATCGTGCACAGGTTCGCAAAGGTGCACGCGAAAAGAAACTTACAATTCCATTATGAGTGTGATTTTGAACTGCTGTACAAATACGTCGTAGAGTTGAATTAGTCGTGCATGCCGAAGTTTTGACATGATCTCCACCTCGTTCATCACAGCCTCTTTTTCGTCCAGGGAACTGACTGGAATGACTTTGGCTGCCAGTGTGTAGCCCGTTGCCTTCTCCTCGCATCTATTTACATCACCAAACTTGCCGCTTGACAGAAAAAAAAAACAGTAAATTCACATTGATGGGTCATTCAATTCACTGAAAAAATTCTCTTCATGATCAGTCGGAAACATTGTCTAATAAGCTTTTTTGGCAGAACACGGCTATGATTGTAACAACTGTGATTGCATAAACAGACTTCCAGAATGTAATTTTCCTGATTAAACTCCAGATTTTGAATATAGATAATTGAATATTTTTAAATTGTACTCTTCCATTACCGGTAGACACGATAAGTACTTGTCAGCTTTACTGAATATCGCTTTTGATTGTTTTATGATTAACTTGTCTTCTTTTTCAGAGCAAATTTACTACAGTTTAATCAGCACAAAGCCCGTTCATCTTACCAGGAGAGGCTACCTAGTTCCGTTTTCGTGGTTTATTACTTTCACATGTTAGCAAGTCACCCTGTTTATAATTCTTGATTGCTTTATTGTTCAACACTGCTTTTTTCCTTAATGCCAGTTCACAATAGCGCATGTCTGCCTAAATGTCTGTCTTCGTCAAAGAATCGAAAATTTCGATTTTGACGCCTCCATTTTTCGATCAGGGAGCATGCCTGGAACTTAAAAAGTGCCGAATACCATCCGGCCTTTAAAGTATTATGAAGGATATAAATTAATATATATACTAACCTGCCAAGGAATTCATAAATTCGATATTCTTTCTCCACTTCCACGTCATGCTTGATGGTCACACTGCGATTAAGTAGGAAGTCTGGAGTGTCTTCATCTACGTCATCTGAAAAAAAATCACAGCTCAACGGTCTGAAAACTCAGATGACGATTGGAGAGATAATTCCATTTAAGCAGTCGAGCCCCATCCATAGGCCCTCACTCTCACCAAAACAACGCATTGTCCTCTTGAAAATTACAAAACGGACATGTCTTCAACGCTGTTGACCCTCTTACTTCTATGGCGGTCGCATGCCACACAAACTGATAGCCCTTGTGGATAACCTAACCACAACACTTTGTTGGGTGTGCATAAAATAACAGTTCTTCGACAATTTTGGAAGGTAAAACCAATTGGCAAACACCACCACAACTTTATTAGCAACCGGCATGATGTGGGAGCACTTGGACGAGCTGAGTTGCTTTTGTCCTTGTCTGTCTTCCTCACTATGTCACGAGACAGTAAAGTGTGGGCTTCAACACGTGCTGGGTGGGTTTCATTTTGACACAGAAGGCAGTCCTACTTGAATTGTTCAAATGAGCATCGACGCTGCAAAGGTGGTTGTTTTGTCATTTGAATTGATCACAATTTCGTCTGATATGCGCATATAGCTCACGAACAGCGTTTGTAAATCAATGGGGAGTTAGGCCACTTTAGCCTTAACTTCCTGAAGATTCTGCCAGAATTCAGTGTGTCGTGGTACCAAACAAAGGGAATTTCATCACTCGAATTGCATCAAGTTATAGTTTTCAGACAGGACTACTGCTCGCATCCGGGAAGACAAAACAGCACATTTGTGGAGGTAAATGTGGCGCAGGCTTGCTTTTTGCACTGATTGACATATGATTTACTGGTTAAAAATTTTATCAAAATCTTCGATCGTAAAATGAAGCCACGCAGCACACTTTACCACCAAAAATGTGTTGCAAACTAAAATAATTATGTAAAATTGCATTAGGTGTGGGGGCGAATTTCTGTTTAATTAGTTGTATTACCGAAAAAGCTCTTCATTAAAGTTAAGTTATGATGAAGATCCAAAGACGTCTAGTCAAAATTGTCCAACTGCAATTACTTGTAAGTTGGAAATTTTCTAAAGCAGAGATTTATGGTGTCAACTGAAATGAATTCATTGGTGATTACTTTGTTCAGTTAACAGAAATTCCTTAACGGACAAATTGAAAAATGCTAAAGTTGAACTTACTCCGTTTGGCTGCCCCTTTACGATGACGGATTTTCGATTGCATTATTTTGATGTAACAAGAATTTGGCAAATATCCGATGGACAATGATGCCTATTTCCACGTAAGGACGGATTCAGCACTCCCACACACTTCCCCTCATGCATGTAGCCGCTTGTTCTTCGGAGAATTCGAGACCTGTCTCGTAGCTCTCTCGCTTCAGGTCGGACGTCTAAGGGCTTTTCGTTGGGGAATTGATTTCCCTCGCGAGTGTGCGAGGATGTTGCGCATACGCACTGCGTTTCTGCGTTTCCTATTGGTCAGATCAAAAAACGTGGGATATGTTGCTTTACAGCACCCACACACGCACACACACGCACACACACGCACACACATGCATCTGTGAATGGACACATTAGTATTGCTGCAACGCGGCCGTGACCTTGGCGATCATTAGGTGTTGCCAGTAGTTACGCGATTAGCCCGAATATTAAACAATTCTGATTAGCGACTGATTGTTACTTTAGTTTTATCTAAATTCCATCATGCATTGAACCTTACCACAGCAAACCCCCTGTACGGCAATGCTGCTGCCTAAAGAAATAATTTTCAAGAATAGTTCATCCGAAAACTACAGCCTTTTTACATAACTTTAAATTATCTTAGCTGGATGTTTTGCTAGCAAGACAGATCATTTGACCATCGACTTGGTTGAAAGCAACGCGGAACCATACGGTTTCACGTAAATTCAAAGAATTTCATTTGCAATATTTTGTTTAATTGAAACGCAGTATCCTCGGATGTAACTTTTGAAATTTTAAACCAGACAATCAATGAATTTTACAATTACATTTTGCAAATGACTGTTCGGACAATTACTGCAAGCGATGTCGTTTCTGTGTCCATCTAGCTGTAGAAACTCTTGTCATTACTTTAAGTTTCATGTTTAATTACTTTTAAAACTCTCCCGGAAGACTGGCTAACTTTGAGCTTTGGACGTCAAAACAAATTACTCCAGTATCTTTAAAAACCATAATTCGCTTCAACGGTCGGGACAAACTGTGTATTTTTGATGTTGTTGATTAACTTTGTCGATAAATTTAGTTGGTTTTATGTTTTAAACAAACGTCATTTCTGCACGACCAGTAGAATACATTTAGCTCGTATGTAGACATTTAAATCAAACCTAATTTCATTGCGGTAAGATCGCTTTTCACGTAGGTAAATTAAAGGGAAAGATCGAAGATAATAACTCAGAGCAATGAGTTGTTTAATTCAAATGACAACATGAAAAAAAAGTTACTTAGCATGGACCTTTAAATTAGTTTTAAAAAATTTAAGACATCGTTTCTAGAAGTGGATTTAACTGATTCAACAGATCAATTATGAACTTGTCTAGAAATGAATATGAGTAAAAAATATCAAGCCTCTGATTGTCAAAATCGCGACCTTCGTTTTCTCCGTAGTCTGTTTCTTCGTTAAAATTCGATATACTGACTGCACGGTGAATGACACCAAGAGTTGCAAGTACGACCTAATCATCCGATCACGTTCAGGGGTGATCTGTACACCTTCTACTAATGAATTGCCAATTAAAATTAATGCGCATTTTTCATCCACGAAGCGTTCTTGGCAGGCTTTATGTTGAATGCGGGTGAATCTGGAGGTCACAGCGATGTTTAATACCTAGACCTTATCCTACGACGGTATAATGATTTTGTGTGTTGTACAGCACATTTAAATTCGTTGAAGTCACTGTCATCGCCAACTTTCGCTTCAGTCTTGGGTTCTGGAGCTCCACAATGCTGCCAACGAATAGACCCCGTTCCAGAAGGCCGTTTTCCTTGCTAAACAGAGATTACACGAACGCTGCAGGCACCTACGTGTCAACTTCGATTACTCGCCTTTCCAATTCGACTATCTCCTTGCATTAGTTAATGGTTGTGTGAAACAGATTTAGCCTCCATGATGAAGTACCTTGGTTTTTCACAATCCCACTAAATGTCAAAACATTTACACGTGGCCACTGAAATGGGTTAGGGTAACATCAAACTTGAATCGTTTATTTGGGCAGCGATGGCTAGACAGGAAAATTGTTTGTCGGTTCAGGAGTATGTTTTTTTGCTGATCAGATCGTAGAAACAGCAAAATGGTGCTAGCGTGCGTCGTGCGTGCGTGCGTGCGCGCACAAGTTGTCCCTGTTGCCGCGGCCATACAACAAACATCTGGCTTGGACAAAGTGCGGTGCGTTTGTCCACAGACTCCCCTGTAATGTTTTGCTCGACGGTCTATAATCGTAACAGTGCGACCGGAAATAGCAGGTATTACTTGTGGCGTTGTTAAATTGTCTGAATTGGAAACTTCTACGCACGTTTGTGAATGCTAGCCACGCTATTCCCTCAGGTCTGCTTAAATGTCTGGTGACGTTTCCGAGTACAATTTTGACTTTGATTCTGGAAATATGGCAAGTAACATTGGACTCCTCAATTTAAAGGGTCATTTACGGCTGTAATCCTAACTCATGCATGTGTGGCTAACGATTTAGTTTTGTGACGACACACTGGTGATTTTTATGATCTGGAAAACCAAATGCTTTCATCACAAAACCAAGCAATCCTAAGATGAATTAAACAAATTAAGCTAACTTAGGCAATACTATCTGGCCAAAAGTTTAAATAATTATAATACAACTGAATTTATGCAATTAAGATGTTGTGAATACTCTTGCAACACACCAATCAAGTAAGTTCTTGTATCCCTACACTGTCCATAGCTCCAATTAATCTTAAATTATTTTCCACCTGAACTATTCATGTCATTACTTTAACTGACCCACAAGTTCCTTTCAGGTTTATTCCACGAAATCAACTTTTCAATGTTTAAAGAGTCGATAGGGGTGCTAAAATACTTTAAACTTTCTGTTAGTAAATAACCAACCATTGTGATTTTTCAAAACTTTGACAACAATACAACTCCCTCCTTTATATATGCATGTGCTAATTTTAAAAGATAAAATGAGAATTTTTCCTAAATTGTTTAAATTTTGGTGAAAAAACCTGCCTTGATAGACTTTAGTTTCGGTTTTCGGAGTTGGGCACTTGAACCCATGTCCGGCCACTGCCATAGGCCATTTCAGCGATTAATGTACTTAGACGCTAATCACCAAATTGGTCTGCCAACATTTCAAATTCACCTTATAGTGTCTGTCTGTTAGAGAAATGCTAATAAAATTTGTACTTTTCATGATTGTAGCCATTTACTTTGCTTGACATAAAATGATTATTACCATCATCTATGATAATTGCTTCAACGGAAGACAAATTTGTTGGTTGATTCACTTTTTAGTGCGGAAGAGGAAATCAATTCGTTAATTAAATGGGCAATGTATCCCTAATAAAAGCAGGAACATGCACTTAAAGTACATGGAAGTATTCTATGGCTAGATTATGGTAAGACTCAATGTTTTGGCCCCAGGGATCGTCCTAGATACCTCTTGATTACAGCAACAGGAAGAAACTTTAGCCAAGGTTCCAACCCGATGCAATCTCTGGTTATGTGTAAAGCCATACATTATTCTATTGCAACCGTTGTGTGAATCATTACCGTAATTTTAAGCAACTCTTCACATTGTATGTCAGCTAATTTTCTACCAGTTACTATCACATACTTTGATTCAATAAGATCGTGTGGTAACTGTAGTAAGTTCGATTACACAGTAAGTAGCGTGTACACTGTTACGTTTGCCCGTAACAATAGAGAATACCACTCAAATAACGGTACCAGATCCCTTGCTGAAAGCTAGAACCGACC